CTTCAGTTCTAAGGATGGAGTGTTTCTCATTAACAGCTTTTTCAGTGGGTCATGGTGGCTCAGGCTGTAATCTCTGTGTTTCATTTTGGGAGCCTGAGGCAGAATTACTGCCCTGAGTTGAAACCCACGTGTGACTCAGTTTCCATCTGCAGTCAATTCTGACTTAAAGAAGCCATTTCAGTTCAAGCCTGCCTGCTCTGCTTTTTCCAGGTTGCGAGTAACTTCTGTGTTAACCCATAAGAAAGAATCTTTTCGCCCAGATGAAAGAGTACATTATTCTATTAAGATTTGGGCTGGAGGCACTCCTCATTAGAGATTAGAAGCTGCTTGCTAGCTGAATTCTTGTGTGAGATAATGCTTGAAGTTCCTCCCAAGGACACTGCAGGGAGGATGTTAGCTGACTGTACTGCTCTTTGTTCTGCCTTTTGCCTGTAATTAGTAATATGCTGGCTTAGAAATAAACTTGGGCTGTTTGGTATTAACCTTCAGTCTACCCTGTGTTTTCTGTCTCTGTTTCCCTCAATCTGCCATTTTCTTTAACATCTTGCCCCTTCCCAGGTACCTCCTGCTGATTCCTGCCAGAGCAGACTCCAGCAAAAAAAACAAAACAAAACAAAACAAAACAAAACAACAACAACAACAAAAAAAACAAAAACTGAAACAAAACAACAAAATTCAGCTTACTGGTCTGAAAACTTTTAAACACTGGACAGCCAGAGCACCACTCGCCCGCCCTTCTACCCCAGCTGCACACTCACAGTTTATCCACGGGTCCCACTGTGGATTTTCTGGCTTCTTTGACTAGAAAGGATTTGTGTTTGTCAAAGCTACAAGTCTAGGGTGGGGGCTTTCTGGTCCCCTCTTGAGTGCTAATATCAACCCTGCAAGGATTTTTACACTGCGGGACATCTAAAATAGAGAGGGTATGCAGCATGGTCCAAGCCATGAAAATATTCCCCTCCTGCTTGATGTATCCCCGCCCCCTCCCGCCCCTTGCTGGGATTAAAGGCTTGAGCAATTGAAAGGCAATCACAACGAATTGGAGTAGGTGTAATAATCGTGATCGGCCAGCAGGTGTCGCAGTTGCAGCCACGTTAGTTGCTAGCCGCAGCGAAAAGCACATGCTGCTTACTTAGGTACTGACAAATACGCTTTGTTTAACAAATAAGAGCAGTTAGTAAGTCAATCAAATGATTCCGAGAGTTGGGGGTCAGAAGAAAGAATAAACCCAAAGTTTTCCGTCAGTGGGAATTGCAGACTGTGTGTACTTCGGGGATAGCAGGCAGCAGTGTGTGGGCTGGCATGTAACACGTAGGGAGGCAGCGTGTGGGTCGCGAGCCGGGGAGCACTGAGCAGCAGCCTGTTGTGTCTTGAGGCTTGTGTCTGTGTCCAGCTAGAGCCACGGGTGGGAGAGTCAGTGGCCAATGAACCACGCAGCTGGTGGACAGATCCCAAAAACTGTGGACTGTTCCCCACATTTGGTTGCCAGATGATGGTGGAAGACACAAAATAATTCCACACTAGTTCAGAATTACATATAATAAAGGTTTTTTTTTTATTTATTTAGGGGAGACTTACAGATCACTATCCTAGATCACAGTCCTCTGCATGAATGGGGAACAGGAACAGAGTCTAGCAGCTGTAATCACGAGCTAGAAACAAGAGAGAGAGCATAAGCTTTACAGCTACATTTATAGTATAAGAGACCACGTTCCTCCACAGCCTCTCCAGCAAAGGTTATCATTGGTGTTTTTGATTTTAGCCATTCTGACAGGTGTAAGATGATATCTCAAAGTTGTTTTGATTTGCATTTCCCTGATTGCTAAGGAGGTTAAGCATGACCTTAAGTGTCTTTTGGCCATTTGAACTTCTTCTGTTGAGAATTCTCTGTTCAGTACAGTGCCCCATTTTTTAATTGGGTTAATTGCATTTTAAAGTCTAGTTTCTTGGGTTCTCTATATATTTTGGAGATCAGACCTTTGTCTGTTGCGGGGTTGGTGAAGATCTTCTCCCAGTCAGTAGGTTGCCTTTTTGTCTTAGTGACAGTGTCCTTTGCTTTACAGAAGCTTCTCAGTTTTAGTGGGTTCCCTTTATTCAATGTTGCCTTTAATGTCTGTGCTGCTGGGGTTATACATAGGAAGCGATCTCCTGCGCCCATCTGTTGTAGGGTACTTCCCACTTTCACTTCTATCAGGTTCAGTGTGTTTGGACTGATATTGAGGTCTTTAATCCATTTGGACTTGAGTTTTGTGTTTCTTGGGCAGCTGAGGATAGGGAACCTGAAATGACCCTATCCTATAGCAATACTGACGAATATCTTGCATATCACCATAGAACCTTCATCTGGTGATGGATGGAGATAGAGACAGAGACCCACACTGGAGCACTGGACTGAGCTCCCAAGGTCCCAATGAGGAGTGGAAGGAGGGAGAAGATGAGCAAGGAAGTCAAGACCACGAGGGGTGCACCCACCCACTGAGACAGTGGGGCTGATCTACTGGGAGATCACCAAGGCCAGCAGGACTGTGACTGAAAAAGCATGGGATAAAACTGGACTCTCTGAGCATGACGAACAATGAGGGCTGATGAGAAGCCAAGGACAATGGCTCGGGGTTTTGATCCTACTACATGTTCTGGCTTTGTGGGAGCCTAGCCAGTTTGGATGTTCACCTTCCTAGACATGGATGGAGGGGGGAGGACCTTGGACTTTCCACAGGGCAGGGAACCCTGACTGCTCTTTGGACTGGAGAGGGAGGGGGAGAGGAGTGGGGGGAGGGAGACAAGGGTGGGAGGAGGGGGAGGGAAATGGGAGGCTGGGGGGAGGCGGAAACTTTTTTCTTTTTTTTTCCTTTTCTCAAAAAAAAAAAAAAAGAGACCACGCCCAAGTAGGCTGGCATCTTAAAGGCTATTGGCCAAAGGAGCTCCCACAGCACTATGGAATACAACTGTCACCACTGAATGACTATACTACCGATGCAAAATGTTGTGGCCAACTTTTATGTGGGTGTTGGGGTTCAAACTCAGGTACCCACGCTTTCAGAGCAAGCACTGGGCTACCTCTCCAGTCCTAATTATTTATTTTTTAATTTATTCACTCAACCAGTTGGATATAAAAATCTGTGCTGGGTTAAGGGAAATAAGAAAAGAATAAGATATTGGTTCCTCAGGCGTTTTGGAGTTTATAACTAGTGGTTGAGGGAAAAGATGTATAAACAGACACATAAAAATTTAATAATGTAGGCTGGAGATATGGCTCGGTTGTTAAAAACACTGGCTACTCTTTCAGAGGACTCAGTTTCAATTCCTAGCACCCACAGAGAAGCTCACAACTGTCTTTAGCTCCACTTCCAGAAGATCTGGCACCCTCACATGGACATCCATGCAGGCAAAACACCAATGCACATAAAATAAATATTTTTTTTAAAGACAGGACTCCACAAACCAGGCTGGCCTCGAACTCACAGAGATCCACCTGCCTCTACCTCCCAAGTGTTGGGATTAAAGGCATATGTCACCACTGCCCAAATAAAAGTAAATAAATCTTTTAAAAATTTAATAATGCAAGCTGAAGAGATGGCTCAGAGGTTAAGAGCACTTCCTGCTCTTCCAGAGGTCCTGAGTTCGATTCCCAGAAACCACATGGTCGCTCACAACCGTCTATAATAAGATCTGATGGCTTCTTCTGATGTGCAGGCAGAATACTGCATGCATAATAAATGAATTAATTAATAAATAAATTTTAAGAAATTAATAATGTAGCCAGGCAATGGTGGCATACGCCTTTAATGCCAGCACTCATGGAAGCAGAGTCAGGCAGATTTCTGTGAGTTTGAGGCCAGCCTGGTATACAGAGTGAGTTCCAGGACATCCAGAGATACAAACCCTAAGAGAGACATACATGGATCTCTTGAGTAAATTGGGAGTCTGGGGGGGGGGGTCACAGGAGAGGGCAGAAGGACAGAGGAGAGAAAGGGAGGGGAGTGGAAAAATTGTAAACCTCAATAAAAACAAAAAAATTAATAGCGCACTGACTTCATTTGCTCAAACTTTTTAAATTTTATGAATACACAATGCAATATAAAAATCAAAGAGACAACTAAGAAAGAATTGGTGGTATAATAAATCCACAGAGTTTGACAGTGGTGGTTCAGGCCTTTAATTCCAGTACTTGGGAGGCAGAGGCAGATGGATCTCTGAGTTCAAGGCCAGCCTGGTCTACATAGTAAGTTCTAGGACATCCAGGGCTACACAGAGAAACCCGTTCCTGAAAAACAAAACAAATAAACAAAGAAATCCACAGTAAGGTGTCAAGTATGAGAAATCTGCATTGTCAAAAAAGGTTTGTTAATGGGGATGAGCACTCAGTAGTTCTGGTTGTCTGTAAAATCCATAGGGAGGTATGTATTAGGTCCTCCAGCTGGGACTGAGAAGTTGGAGGTGGATCTACTTCGTCCCACATGCTCCTTGGGTCGTAGTCTTGAGCAGGACCCTCTTAGATGGGAAGACTGAGATTTTTCTGCTACCCACCACCCTGTGCTTTCTCTTCCGTTTCCTTGACTGCTTTCAGCATCGGTGTTCACCACTAGAGGGCCCTGAACCAATTAAAGATGCAGGGACATACTACTTCTCAAACAGACTAACATGATGTGGGGCTTATCCTGAGTACGGTGCTTAAATATTCTCCCTATAGCGTTTAATCTTCATCCCTACACTGGAAAAGCAGTGCCGATAGGTCTCAAGTATTTGCAAGTTAAAAATCTCTGATATGTGGGTTCTTACTTTTGTTACTTTGGGTTTATCTCGGCAACAGACATATGGCAGTTTAACATCAGGCCCCTTGCCCTAAAAGAGCTCACGATTCCACGAACAGGCCAATTATTCCTTTGGCTTCCATAGATGGTCACACGAGATGATCAAGGGAAACCCAGCATATTTTCTTTGAATAACCACTCTCCAAACATTGTAATCCCAGCCTTTAGAATGAAGGGCTGCACTGGGCCATGGCGAGGATGTGGGAGATGTCAATCATTGGTGAGAGCTAGTGGTTGTTTCTGATGATTAACAGCTGTTTGCCGATCATCTCAGCTGCTTGGATAGCAAATTTCATCATTTCTCTCCAGTGTTTTGTGTGGTGTGTAATAAAAAAAAAAAGTGTCAGAGGGCCTGGGATGTAGCTCAATCGGGAGAGTGTTTGCCTAGCATGTACCAAGTGCTGGATTCAATCCCCAGCACCCCATGAAATAGTGTGTGGTGGGGTGCAGGCTTGTAATCCAAGCATGAGGTGTGTGTGCGCGCGCGAGCGTGCGTGTGTGTGTGTGTGTGTGTGTGTGTGTGTGTGCATGTGTGTATTGGCAGGAGGATCAGGAGTTTAAGGTTATCCTTGGTTACACAGAAAGTTGTGTAGCATGGACTACACAAGACCCTGTTCCCTCCTTCACCTCTCAAAATAAAAATAAAAAATAAAAAAAAGATTGTGGAAAGTAAAACGCCAAGAGAGGTGTCCAGGAGCCAGATGTGGTGGTGCACGTCTTTAGAGACAGGCAGATCTCTGCGAGTTTGAAGCCGGTATGGTCTAAAGTCAGCTAGAACTACATAGTGCGACTATTTAGGAAGAGAGAAAGAGAGAGGAGGAAGAAGAGGGATAGGTGGGGAGGGAGGGATGGGGAGAGAGAGAGAGAGAGAGAGAGAGAGAGAGAGAGAGAGAGAGAGACCCTCTCCCAACCTAAAGTGCTTTCCCCTCCTGCCTTCTCTTGCCCTGGAGTTCGCACGGGCCTGAGCAAAAGCATTCCACGTCCACGTGCCTCCTCCTCGGGACCTGCTAACCGCTTCCAGTTACCAACCGCCGCCACCACCACCACGGAGGAATTGCGGCGCAAGGCAAGAACAGTCTGCAGCGCTGCCACCCCACTGGCCTCCAACAAGCAAGCCCCAGGTCCAAAGTCCTAGAGACTCAAGCGTTTCAGTGTCAGAAATATAGATTTCCAAGTGCAAACGGAACCAAATTAGATGTGTTTGTACATCACACTACTGTTGAAAAGATTCAACCTGAGAAACACGTGCGGTGCAGGAGGTGGGTGAACTGTATGTAGCTTGCAGTGGTTGGAGGAGAAAAGGTGGAGACGCTGCTGCTGTGGGTGTCCCAGGCACAGCTCCAAAAGGGGGAGGAATTTGTCACCCGTTGAGATACCATCTCAGCCAAAGTTGTGGGTTTTTTTTCTTTTTTTCTCTTCTCTTCTCTTCCCCTTCCCCTTGCCTCCCCTCCTCTCTCCTCTCCTCCCCTCCCCTCGGCTTCTCTCTCTCTCTCTCTCTCTCTCTCTCTCTCTCTCTCTCTCTTAAGACAGCATAGTAGGATGTGAGAAATTAGTTTAACTTTGAAGAGTTGTATCAAAGAGAAGAAAATGCACAACTACATTAATTTGAAGGTCTTTAACCCAGAATGACAATGGCTTTGCCTCTTTGAGATATGGTCTCATGTAACTCAGGCTTGTCTTAAACTCTCTAAATAGCCAAAGCTGGCCTTGAATTCTTGAATCTCTTGCCTCTATTTCCCAAGTTCTAGGATTATAGGCATTCATTATTACATTATTTATACAAATTTTGCGGTAAAATTCAAGATTTTGTGCATGCTAGGCAAGCACTCTATCAACCATGATGATACCCCATGCCTTTTTTTTTTTTTTTTTTTTTGAGGCTAGGTCTCATATGTATCCCAGGCTGACCTCCAATTTGTAACAATCCTCATACTACTTCTGCCTCCCAAGTGCTAGGGTTGTGTGCATGTGCCATTCTATCCAGTTTCTTTAATAATTTAATCTGAATTTAATTGACACTGAAATACTAAATAAGTAACTACATGCTAGATTACATAAATAATATTACTAACATGAGTAAGTCATTAGGAGAACAGACTGGTATTACAGTTTTTAATGTAATAATTTTTTATGTCCATGTGAAAATAGATATTGAATCATGGTTATGAAATACTACAAAAGTTTCCTTGACGCAAACATACCAGAAGTGCTCCTGACATTCACTGATAAAACAATAAAGGATGAGCTGGGCTGTGGTGGCCCACGCCTTTAATCCCAGCACTTGGGAGACAAAGACAGGAGGATCTCATTGAGTTCGAGGCCAGCCTAGTCTACAAGAGCTAGTTCTAGGACAAACAACCAAGTGACACAGAGAAACCCTGTCTTGAAAACAAAAAAACAAAACCAAATAGTAAAAGATGGGACTGGTAGCACATGTCTTGAACCACAGCACTGGAGAGGTGGAGGCAAGCAGATCTCTAGTTTGAGGCCATCCAGGACTACATAGTGAGAGTCATCTTAAACAAAGCCAGAAACATTTTCCTTCTCTGGACACTCAGAGAATGGCCACAATCGCACTGGTCCTACTTTCGTATTGGTATTTTTGGGGACCTTTTGCATCTGAACTCCCAAACTGTACAAAATGTTTGGAGGAAATAATAAAATAACTGAGTAGAGTAGTCCTCTTCTTTATTTTAGTTTGTAAATAGTTATTTCTTATTGACATAATTTATTGTCATTCATTTATTTAAATGTCCCTCAATTAAAAAAATGTACTAAAATAGAACACGCCAAATACTATGTCTATTATTGGAGGCACAGAGATGAATAAGCCTGGGTTACTTCCCTCTTAAAATTTACCAACTTCGGGCTGGAGAGATGGCTCAGTGGTTAAGAGCATTGCCTGCTCTTCCAAAGGTCCTGAGTTCAATTCCCAGCAACCACATGGTGGCTCACAACCATCTGTAAGGAGGTCTGGCGCCCTCTTCTGGCCTTCAGGCATACAGACAGAATATTGTATACATAATAAATAAATAAATATTTAAAAAAAATTTACCAACTTCAAGAGGAACAAACCCATGAGTGAGCATGAATCTCAGTGCTGCAGAGATGGAGAGGCATCAGCCATAAAGTCATACACTGAATTTCTTGCAAATAAGCCACTTTTCTTGAACTCACCAACTATGTGTTTATTTTATAAATATTTGAGTTCACTCAAATATTTGTGTCAGTATCAAACTTGGTGGGCAATGTAGATGAGTTAGACTCCATGCTTCCAGGGGTTTGTGATTAGAAGAAGGGGTACAAAAATAATTTCAAAGCAGGAGAGGGCTAGAGAGATGGCTCAACAGTTAAGAGCACTTGCTGCTTTGCAGAGGACCAGAGTTTGGTTCCCAGCTTCCACATCAGGGAACCTACAACCTCCTGTAGTTCTAGCTCCAGAGGATATGATACCCTTTTGGGGTCTCTGTGAGCACCTGCACAGACACATGGACACACACAAATAAATAAATAGAAATAAAATATTTTTGAAGTAATGAGGGATGGGGATAGGGCTTAGTGGGTAAAGCACTAGCCAGGAAAGCCCAGCAACCCATATTTGATCCTCCAAACCCATATTAGAAAAAGGACAGATGCAGTAGTGTGCATCTTTCATCCCAGATCTGCTGCGAAAAGAAGGGGGCAGAGGAGAGAACTGGAAGCATCTTCAGTCAGCTAGCCTCCAGTCAGCAGTGTGGCTGAAACAAGAGAGTCCTGCTTCAACAAAGTGAAAGACAGGAACTGATCTCTGAAAACTGTTTTCTGACCTCCACACATTACAATTCATCCATTCATTTTTTTATATTTATTTATTTTTTATTATGTATACAATATTCTGTCTGTATGCTTGAAGGCCAGAAGAGGGCGCCAGACCAGGTGGTTGTGAGCCACCATGTGGTTGCTGGGAATCGAACTCAGGTCCTTTGGAAGAGCAGGCAATGCTCTTAACCATTGAGCCATCTCTCCAGCTCCTCATTTTTTTTTTTGTCACTGAAGTATAAATTGTATCTAGAGTACAGAAGAGGAGAGAAGACATGAATTTGGTTTAGGGAAGCCATTGCTACACCAATTCAATTGAATAAAACCTTGAAGAGTCAGTGGGAATCATCAAACAGGCCCTTTGGGGAGAATGTGTTAAACACTAATAACAATAGGGAAGAAAAAGGCAAAACACATCAAAGAGTTTGAGGAGTGCCATGAGCACCTTCACAGTATAAGAAGGAACAGGGCCAGACCGTCTTTGGATTTGAATACCAAATCCAGGAGGCATGTATGGGACCATGGCACTGTAAAAAGGATACTCCTTGCATCACCTGGAGAGCTTGTTAGAACTTCATTATGACAACATCCCTGTTCCAGTTACCAACTCAGTACGTCTAGAACAGGGCTGATTTCTATCTTCTTCTTTTTTTTTTCTTGAGACAGGGTTTCTCTGTGGCTTTGGAGCCTGTCCTGGAACTAGCTCTGTAGACCAGGCTGGTCTCGAACTCACAGAGATCCGCCTGCCTCTGCCTCCCGAGTGCTGGGATTAAAGGCGTGCGCCACCATCGCCCGGCTTGATTTCTATCTTCTAAAGCCCCCAGAGGCCAAAGTTGTGCATGTGCATTCAGAGCTCAGGAGGCAGAGGTGAGAGGATTGGATTCTACACAGAAAGACCCTGTTTCAAAAACAAAAGTCACTTAATAATTCTTCTCTCAGGAAAGACTCTCTGAAATTTCCCATGTCTATAGCTATGTATTTATACATGAAGATCACAAAGGTTGAAATGTTTAGGATGGATGTGGATAGGGGTAGGGGCTCTAGATATTTCAAGTAGAAATCCAAAGGTTTAGAGTTTAGACAAAACAATAATATAACAATTCTGTTGTTTATTCATACTAATTAGATATCTAATAGCTAATCAAAGCAATATTTCCCTTTTACGTTTCCTAGGGATTTATCCTGCAATAAAATACGGTATATTGAAAGAGGGACATTCGAATCATTACCTTTTTTGAAGTATATGTAAGTAACAAACATAACCCATTTGTATTTTGGATTTTATAACCCCCATGCTACTTAATCTGTTACATGATTAAAATTTTTAAATTTTGCTAGTAGGAGATAGCCAGACTTAGAAGGACAATTGTTACATGGTTTCTTTCACGCTGGGGACCGAACCCAGGGCCCTGTACTTGCTAAGTAAGCACTTTATCAATGAGCTAAATCCATAACCCTTAGACTTACATGTAGATACGCATATATGTGGCATGAGTAGAAGATGGGCTATGGAGGGCAAGAAAGAAGTCTAGAAAGATTTTAAACAAGAGAGGACAATGGGAGAAAGAAAGACAAAATACCATCTTTTCTATCAATTGAAATCTAGATTTCTTTCTTTTTTTTTTGTGTGTGTGTAGCATGAAAGGAAAAGGGAGACTCTGTGAGGAGAAAAGGTACAAAAAGGGATAATGAGTGGCAGTAAGGATAAGAAATAAGAAAGATACAATATATGCATATATACATATACTACACACACACACACACACACACACACACACATATATATATATATAATATAAACTGTCATGATGAAACCCATTATGTAGTGTACAAATGAAGCAAATTTTGTGGCTAATAGAAAGTAACTACAGGCCGGGCGGTGGTGGCGCACGCCTTTAATCCCAGCACTTGGGAGGCAGAGGCAGGCGGATCTCTGTGAGTTCGAGACCAGCGTGGTCTACAAGAGCTAGTTCCAGGACAGGCTCCAAAACCACATAGAAACCCTGCCTCGAAAAACCAAAAAAAAAAAAAAAAAAAAGAAAAGAAAGAAAGTAACTACATAGCAAATTGTGTGTGTGTGTATGTGTACACCCATGTGGATGTGTGTGCATTTTCATGCTTATATAAATCACAGAACTTGAGTTCTATCCTTCTACCATGTGAGTCCTAGGGCTTGAACTCAGCCTAGGTGGCAAGCATCATTACCCACTGAGCCATCTCCCCAGCCCACATTCCTTTAGTCTGTGGTAAAAGTGAGTGAAACTTGAATCATAGCACAACACTAGATTTTAGTCCGTGTGGCTGTGTACCCAGGTGACCCTTGGCAACTGGATTTGCAAAAGATATCTAATATGCAGACACCACAGATGTTATAAACATCCTCCAATGTATAGGACAAACCTCCATAGCAGAGTGGTCTAGCCTAGAATTTCAGTGGTACTGAGTTGTGAAACCCTTTCCTAGAGAAGGAAGGTCATTGAAAGAAGGATCTGCTTGTAATTCACTGTAGTTAGTGCATGGCATATCATCCACAATAAGATTTTCTTTGTGAGTCGAGAAAACATTGAAACCATTTCTGAGAAAGGTTATGTTTCATCATATGTATATTAGAGTGATTGTTAAATGATAACTGTCTGAAAAATGTTTCCTTTGGCTTACTATGTGTTTTTAATTTGTTTAAATGACTTTAGGAACCTTGGGTGCAATCTACTCACTGAACTGAGCTATGGAACATTTCAAGCATGGCATGGAATGCAGTTTTTACAGAAGCTGTAAGTGCAGTAGAATATAAATACTTATTTGTGTGTTAAAACCCATGCAGATTCCCCAACTGTAAACCCTGTGTGAACTGTGGGTAGTTTGTCTCATTCATTCTTTTCCAATGAGGAAACTAAGGCACAGGAGGGCAGGAGACTTGTGTAAATTACAGGACACGATGAGCTTTCCTCATCCTGACCTTCAGCACGGGCACCACAAGTAACACCACACGAGTAACACTGATAGCTATCATGGCGCCCTCGTGCTGTGGCTCTGATGTGTGATGTTGTTTTTGGAAACCCGCTTGTGAGTTTCACTCTGATTCCCTCTCCCATGCACAGTTCCCAGCTGCTTGAATGGATGCCACATAGAGGTGCAAAGAGCAAAGATTAACACCAACTCCTCCAGGGAGCAAAAGGTAGAGGTGCTTTCCCAGAAATGGAAAGCTGAAAATTTGCCCGAGGACTTCTCCCCTCCTTATCCAGAACATTATTTCTCAGGACGCATATGCCTCTGAAGTCATGCATTATCTGTGGGTAAGAGGCATCTTGGCAGCATGGATAAGAGGGCATCTGCATCTGCATTAAGCTATATGGTTGAAAATATCCATAAAGAAAATATGTTGCTCTATCCTGGCTCTATATAATACTTTTCTTCCTCAAGAAGAAAGTGAATTTTATTAGTTTTTATCTAAAAATCTGTGTTTGTCAGGCATTGTGGCATATACTTAAATACCAGCAGTTGCACTCAGGAAACAGAGGCAGGAGGATCGTTAGTTGGAAGGAGTCTTGGACTAACAGTAGACTCGTGTCAAAAACAAAACAAAGCAAAAAATCCCACTTTGTGTGACATTCAGTGGCCAGGAGGGCATTATAAACTCAAGAGGGATTTTCTGCTCTGGATCTGAGTTTGGGCGGCTGAAACCTGTCTGGTAGGTCAGAAACCCAGATTCACGGTTGGTTCCCATGGGAGGACGGGTTTGTGGTGTGCTGGGGCTGGATGAACTGTTCTGTAAATGTTCTTTGTATCAGTCTCCCCTCTCCAGAACAATTTGCCAACTCCTAACTTGGGGGAAAGGAACCAGAGGGTCTGGCGGGTTAGGAAAGACTCATGCAGGCACATGGACTTGTTATCTCTAGTTTGTGTTCATCTTGGCAGAAAGGGAGTTTGCTTCCTTGTGATGAGATGAGCAGAGCTAACTGGTAACAGACATTGATAGTCACATCATGTTATCTGAATGGAACAATGGTACCTCTCAGAATTCAGTCACCATCACAGATTGGGTCAGTGAGGCAAGCATAGTGTGTGCTTGCAAGCCCAGCTGCTCAGATGCTGAGGAGGGAGGATGTCTTGAGCCCAGGAGTTCAAGACTGATAATGAGAACTCATAAAAAAAAAAAAACTTGACAATAATTGTTGGCCGAGGCTGCTTTTTCATTTCCTGGCTGCCCAGACCCAAAATAACCACTAAGAAACTGCATTAATAAAAACACTGCTTGACCTATTAGCTTATTCATATTTCTAGCTAGGTCTTATATCTTAAATTAACCCACTTCTATTAATTTGTATCGCCATGTGGTTGTGGTCTACCAGTAAGGTTCCATCCACCGTCCAGCGTCTGTCTCCTGCAGTGGCTACATGGTGTCTCTTTGATTCTGCCTACTCTCTCTTTCTCTGCCTGCCCTATTCTGTGCACCAATAGGCCCAAAGCAGCTTCTTTACTAACCAATGGCATTCACAGCATACAGAAGGGAATCCCACATCATACAAGGGGCACAACCCACCAAGTGTGTGTGGGAGTTTTACTCCTTTGTTCGGATTCAACACTCAACTCTTTGTGATAGATAAAGGAGTTTTCTTCAGGAAATATCCCATAGTAGGACACAAGCTTCTTGCATCTTTCCAAAGGCAAGTTGCCAAGGGAGAAACCAGGAATTCTGTGACATATAGCACACAGTTCCTGTGGTGTTTGTTAAGTTGAACTTCTGTCCTTCCTGCATTACAAAAGTCTGTACAAAGATCCCAGCCAAAGTAGTTTTGTCTAGGGCTGAATGAAACCTAAGCCCAAGTGCCAAAGTCCTAGGAGCTTCTATATTAATAAACTCTGCATGTTATTTTTATTTCCCATTAGATAATGGTCAGACCTCTCAAGATTCACCCCTGGTTTCAGGTACCTACTTGGATACAGCCTCCATGTTACTGACAAGCCCTGATGAAACATGTTGGCGGTACCTTCAGGGTCAGATGCTCTTGAATCTAAAATTCATGTCAAAGACACACCAAAAGCTCATTAGTTAAGTGCCATTGTTTTATTGACAATAGGAATCATACCTCTTTCATATGGAAAAAGTTACAAAAAACCAATAGTGGTTGACAATCTATATGGTAAGTACACCCCCTCGCGACTTTAAAGTACTTCTCCTTCATTTACCTACACAGGTCCAGACCAGTGGCTTGTTTTCAAACATTCTTTTAGTCACTTCATTGCTATTAATAATAAACTCCCTGAAGAATTTCACTAGACAGAAGAGCTACACATTATTCAGCCTGAGCATATTCACGTGGTTGTAGGAAGAAGACCATTTATTGGTTCCCAGCTGCTCAGCCTCAGAATAATCACACAGAAACAATATTATTTAAATCACTGCTTTGAAGTAATTGGAGCAGTGGGCTGCTTTCCCGCTGCCCGGCTCCTGCATGGCTAGCTTTACTCGAAATAATTACACGGAAACTGTATTCTTTTAAACACTGCTTGGCCCACTAGTTCCAGCCTCTTAATGGCTAATTCTTATATCTCAATTAACCCATTTCTAATAATCTGTGTAATACCACGAGATGGTATCTTACCAGGAAGGATTCTAGCCTACATCTGTCTGGGGTCAGAGAATCATGGCGACTGCCTGACTCGGCTTCTTTCTCCCAGCATTCTGTTCTGTCTACTCTGCCTACCTAATTTTCTGTGCTATTAAAGGGCCAAGGCAGTTTCTTTATTTAACCAATGAAATCAACACAAAACAGAAGACTCTCCCCCATCACTGCTTGGCCCATTAGCTCTAGCTTCTTATTGGCTAACTCTTACATGTTAATTTAACCCACCTCCACTAATCTGTGTATCGCCATGTGGCAGTGGCTCACCAGCAAAGTTTTGGCATTTCTGACTCTGGCAGTGGCTCTATGTCTTCTCCTAGACTCTGCCTCCTTTCTCCCACTATTCAGTTTAGTTTTCCCTGCCTAGCTCTGTTCCCCTGTAGCTCTGCTATAGGCCCAAAGAAGTTCCTTTATTAACCAATGACATTAGCAGCATACAGAGGGAAATCCTACATCACTGGGTAGTTTGTCTGCAGCCCATCAATGCTATTCCAATAGCTTAACCCTGAAAGGAAAATTCAAATTTTACCCCTACTGAAGTGTCTACCCACTCTTAAAAATATCCATGAAGTAAATGGCCATAAATTGGACCCAGTAATACTCTAGTGCTTCTTTCTAGCCCCCTAGCATTGATTTCCTATGGGAAACTATTCATGTCCAAAAGTTTGCTTCTGGGGCTGAAGAGATGGCTTGGTGGTTTAAAACACATGTTGCTCTTGCAGAGGACCTGGGTTTGATTCCCAGTACCCACATCCTAGCTCACAACTGTCTGTAAACTCCAGTTCCAGGGGACCCAATGCACTCTTCTGACTTCTGCATGTAGTGCACCTTCATACATGCAGACATAATACTTATACACATAAACTAGTAAGTCTAAAATATTGAATATGTTTAAAAAAAAGTTGCTCCTTTCAGGCCACAATCCTCTCTTTGGTTTTCACAGTATCCTGGCAGCTGCTTCTCACATCGAAATGCAAAAACTTTAAAGATGCAAAGAGCAACTCAAGACTGTCCTTTGGGATGATTTAGGCAAGTTGTTTAATTTGTAACCATGCAGCAGTTCTGAAAGGGTCACATCAAACATTGTGATAGCTTTCCTCGCTCTGTGGCATCCTATTCTTCCCACTGGTGTGGGAAGGCACCCTCTCTTGCAATCCTAGTAATTCTCCCTCTGCCTATAACACATTTTTGATGCCTACATTCATGAGTTTTTTTTTTTTGTTCTAGGCACTATATAAAAAACTGAAACAAATGAAGTAGTGCCAAAAGAATTGGGCATGTGGTACATATTCAATCATGTTACTTTATTTTCACTCTTCCCAAAACTCTTGCAGTGAAACCATTAACAAGCAGCAGTGTAGTATGAGCTGCGGTGGGCGGCGTTCCAGTCACCCCGGCTCCCGCATGGCTAGCTTATGCCCGAAATAATTACATGGAAACTGTATTCTTTTGAACACTGCCTGGCCCATTAGTTCCAGCCTCTTATTGGCTAGCTCTTACATATTGATCTAACCCATTTCTAATATTCTGTGTAGCACCACGAGCTGGCTTACCCAGGAAAGATCTTAACCTACGTCTGTCTGGAGTGGGAGAATCATGGCGACTGCCTGACTCGGCTTCTTTCTCCAAGGATTCTGTTCTGTCTACTCTGCCTACCTAATTTTGTGTCCTATCAGGGCCAAGGCAGTTTTTTTTATTAATTAACCAATGAAAGCAACAGATTAGAAGAAGTCACTTCCACATCATTTTCCCTTTTTCTGTTTAAACAAAAGAGAAGGCTTTCATTTTAACATAGTAAAATTACATGTAGCAAAACAGCTATAAAGCAAGAATTACAGTCACAATATTTATATCTACTTAATCTTTTATCATAACTAAGGAAAACTACAACTATCTATCCATTCTTCAACTCCATGAAAGACTCCAGAAGGATATAATATTACCTAAGCAAACAAGAAATCAAAAACTCTAGAAATGACAGAGACATCTCACTGCCTGGACAGTCACCCAAAGTTCCTCTGTACCATTGGGGCGTCCATCTTTGGCCTTCAGGCCCATAGTATCCAGCAGACTCTTCCATGAAGCAGGAAATTTCAAAGACAGTTCATTCATTTTCTGCTGTGTCCTGCAGAATGTCTCGCAGACTC